GGGTATGACTGCATCTCCATGCTTCCTTTGAAGACATCCGTAAAGACCCTGCTCCCCAATACGGTCATATTCTGAGCTTTGCACCCACCTCGAACCTGCATGTTGGGAGAAAAAAAAAGGCTGTTAAGGAAACATAATGGCTGCTCTCCCCAGTTGCTTAGAATTTGGGGGGTACACTATAGGTGGGGTGACTGCCCTCAGTCTTTTCTCCAACTTGCGCCTGGCTTTCAAGGCCTCCCCAACAGTGGAGAGGCGAGGAGCAGTGTGGTGCCTCCCCCGACATACAAAGAGGGCTCCCTGGTGCCACCCAGCCTCTCGTGGGATGGTTCCGATCTGGCTTGCTCTGGGGTCAGGAGAGCCAGAGGCGCCCATGCGGCACTGCCAGCAGACGTGTCCTAACAAATTGGTTTCTACTGTATGTGGAGCTGTACCCCCCCTTTGCCAGCAGGAAGCCCCTCTGAATTCATTGCCTGTCCACTGGACTTAAGGGCAACATCCCACAGAGGACCCGGGAGACCCCACGGTGCTCAGGCCACACCCATCAGACAAACCTAAACTGCCCCCCAAGGCAGGTCACTGTCTGCCTCCCTTCCCCTCCCCTCCACACTCTTTGTAAAGGTCCCAGCCCAGATCCCTGAAAATCAAACCAAAACAGCTACATTTAAATTGCTGGGAGACAGAGTTGCACCCACCTTGAACCTGCACATTGGGAGAAAAAAAAAGGTTGTTAAGGAAACATAATGGCTCCTTTCCCCAGTCGCTTAGAACCTGAGGCAACAATTTTAAAAGGTGCCTTAATTTATTTCTAAATAGAGACAAGCATCACATTGAATCATTATCAGACAGGAGAAAAGCAAAGCAGCTAATCTGGCTTCCATTTGACTCTATTTGGTTGAAAGCAACTTTCAACTGGGGTGGGAGGAGGGGCGGGAGGGAAGAACACAAGGGCAAAAATGCCCTGACTGCGAAGAGCATCCCCTTTGAAGACGGCGTACCTTCGCGTGCAGGGCAAAGCCGCTGTCCCAGGCCTCACGGGGGTCCCGAGGCAGCCGGCTCTCCTGTCCATCACCTGGCTGCAGAGGCCAGCTGGACCAGGATGTGGGGACCAGGAAGTCAGAGTGAGCTGGGAACGCTGCCTCCCCCTCGGGCATCGGCTCAGACGCCCTTGGATTCACCAAGGGAGGGTCAGGGCCCACCACCGCTGGCTGCCCGGAGGGCACACTGGCTGGGCGTGGGGTTTGGGCCCCAGGGGATGAGCCCAGGGCCAGCTGGATCAGAGCCGCGGTGCAAGCTCTTACTTAACACTGAAATTTATCATAAAAGAAATCTGTTCTTTGTGAGAAAAGGGGCAGAAAAAGGAAAGAGAGGAGGGAGGGCCCTGCTTGGCAGCACAGGGGCTTGAGAAGCACAGCCCGTCTTGTACCCTTTCTGTTCTCATTCCCGGGGGTGGGGGCTTCAAGTCCTTCTCTGGGGCCTAGAGGGACCAGCAGGCCACAGTCCCCCTGGGGACAGGAGGAGGGGACAGGAGGAAGGCGCAGAGGAGAGGTGAGCTTCTGTGCATGCGGAAGCCACCTTTCTTTCTGCCGTGAAGCACAAACGCCCACAAGCAGAGCCCAGCTTCCCCTGCCCCAGGGGCACCGAGGCCTGGACTTCTCCCTGTGCCTACAAACCCTCGTGACCACCCAGTCCCTCCAGCCCTGGCTATTCCCACTCACGCCACCCTCTGCTTGGACCTCACCCCCTCAGAGAGGCGTCGACCTCCCTTCTAGAACAGAAGCCGCCCTCCGCGCCCTAACCCTGTTCGTCCTCTTCACAGACTCAATGCCTGAGTGTGTGTGACATGCCCACTCCTCCACTAGGAGGTTAGTTCCTGACCTGGGGCAGGAGCCATGTCTGTCTCAAGGCACCTCAGTGTCCCTGCCGCCCACACAGTGCCCAGCACAGAGGAGCACGCAAAAGCCCAAGTCAGACAGGTGGATGGAGGGATGGGTGAGTGGATGGACGGAGGGATGGGTGGGGGAGGGATGATGGAGTGGCCGAGCACAGGCTCTCTGCCTGCTTTCATCTCTCTTGCCAAAGACCTTGCCACTGAGCCCTCAATGGCCACCCATGGGCCAGGCTGGCATGCCGAGGAGGGGCACCCACAGCCTGCCACCCGACCCGCCTGGGGGAGCCATCCCCCTTGGTGCTGCCGGCCCCGCCCCTGCCCTGGGTGCCTGCACACACACAGGGACTGTGCAGACATATGCACCTGCCTTGCTGGGGACGGGGCACAGTGCTGTCATACACTTTGCAATTGTTGGGACAGCTTTTTACAGTCCCCTTACCTGGGCACCCAGAGCTGAAGGGCCCCAGTGGCCCCCACTTTGGTCTTTGTCCACAAACTAGACGTGGGGTAAGGCGGTCCTGTGGCCCCAAAGCTGCATATAACCAAACTGGATGCCCACTGCCTCTGCCTCTAGAGGGAAAGTGGCCGCTCTGTGATTTCCAGCTCCTGGAAGCATCTGGAGCTGGAAGAGGTGGAGGTGCAAAGGTCCTGTGCATCCCCTCTCCACCCCCTCCTCCTCCCACCCATCTCAGCTGGGACAGCCAGGAGTCAGGTTCCAGAGCCATCTCCCTTCAAAGGAGCTCATCTGGGACCTTCCTGTCCAGGGCTTGACAGTAAGCTGGGAGCCACGGTGCCACAGGCCCTCAACTGTCCCCAGGGAGACGGACCCCAGACCCTGACCGCCTGCCAGCAGCCTCCAGGCAAAGGTGTGAGAGACAGAACAATGTGGCTCACGCCGCAAGTGGTGGGGACCAAGCTGTCTTTAGGGAGAGTAAATCTCCGCAGAGCCTCTAAATGCTGTTTCATGGCCTATGAAGACCTTTCAGGAGTTTAAGTGAGGCCATCTCCTTCTCCACTACCCTGAGAAGCCAGCCTGCTACTGTCACCCGGGGCATCGGCTGTCCCCAGGGAGGCCGCCCTTCCCCACGACCCCGCATTGTGTCTCTCCTCCCGCCCACCACAGCCCCCATGGCCACAGACAGCTGGCTCAGGCCTGCATGTGGTCCTGGAACTGCAGGGCTGGGGCTGCCTCTGCAGCCTGAGGGGTCCAGGCCCAGGCCTCCCGCTGAGCCCCCAGGCCCCCAGCCACTCCCCGTCCTTTCTCACCCAGTTCTGCAGGCGGAGCCCTCCCCTGCTCATCCTGCCCTGCGGCACAGTGCACCTGCTGAGGCGGAGAAAACAGCCCCAGTTGCCCTCCCCAGCAAGAGGGCAGGAAAGAGATGGGCCACGGCGGCTTCATACTCACACCCACAAACATGCCTTTAAAGCCATCCCTCTGTTGGGACAAACCTGTGTGCCCCACCGGCACAGCTATCACTACCCATGAGCAGGTGTGCATCCTGAAATCCTTCACCAGGGCTGCAAAGCCTGGCAGAAACCACCAAGCACTAAAGCCACCAGCGTGGCCGAGCAGCCCTTTCACCCACCTCACTGGGGTATGGTGGCAGCCAGCGGAGCAAGGAAGGATGGATGGGGACAGACAGGCTGCCCGGAGGGTGCAGCTGAGCGACAAGCCCCAGCTATGCCCCAGCTATGCCTCCGTCACGCGGAGCTCGGCAGGCGACACGGCTGACCGAGGCCTGGACGCCACCCTCCCGGCTCAGGGCCCGTTCCCTGGATCCGGGCTGCTTGCCCGTGGACTGGCGTGGGGTGCAGACAAGTGGGCAGCAGGCATACAACTCGGAGGCCACCCGGAAGAGGAGCCAAGGCGGGGCAGCTGAACAGAGACGAGGTGACCCCTGCGACACGACCAGAGCCAGGACAGGTGCAGTCTCCAATGGCGCTGGGGGCGCTGAGTCTCAGCTCGGGTCCAGGGGCGTCTGGTGCCCCATCCCTCACCTGTGGGGCATCTGACCACTGGGCCACCTCGATGACCTCTCCAAAGAGCCTGCTCAGTGGTTTCCAAGCGACCCCAGGCCCCGGGTGTCGCTCCTGACCTCAGGAAGCGCTCCTCAGTCCACGCTGCGGGGGGACCCACCCCACAGGCTACTCACAACGAGTTCTGCTTCTCATCTGCACGTCCGGACGCTGCCTACCAGCCTGCGGAGGCTCCTCCGCACCCCAAATTGAGAATGGAGCGCCGCACTGGCTGCCAGGCGCCCTCACTTTCTTTTTATCCATATTTTTCCTACAGACTGAAGGTGAATTTTTGTTTATCAGACCTCATGATGCTCTGCCCCTCGGTGATGACCATCACCAGGTCCTGTCCGCATCTCCTAAGCGTGCTTCCAGTGGCCCGCTTCCCACCATCCCACCAGCAACACTGGCAGACTGCTGGCTGTTCCCCAAAACCTGCTCTTGCCCTGCTTAGCAATACCACCTGCAAAATTCCCTGGCAACACGACCACCTGCAAGGAGGACAATGTTCCCCAGGCCCTTTGGAGTTGGCACATGGAGTGGCCCTTCGGAGTGACTACGTTCTGGCCCATGGGCTGTGGTGGGGATAAGGGCCCAGGGGTATCCCCGTCCTAACCCCTGGAAGCTGTGACTGTGCCCTGACAAGGGAAAGGGATTTGTGCCTGTGGGACGAAGCTGAGGACCTTGAGACGGAGCAGCTGGCCCGGCTTTCCTGGGTGGGCCCCACGTCATCCCAAGGGCCCTTAGTGGAGAAGGTGGGAGGGGCGAGGGAGGCAGACAGAGGAGATGTGCCAACAGAGGCGGAGGCCAGAGTTGCCCCTCCCGTCAGGCCTGAGCAGGCCCCCCAGGAGGCAGGCTGTGGGCCCAGCACACCTGAGTGTCCCTCAACCACATCCTCAAGGGAAAGCCAGGTTTATGCAGTGCACAGACAATGGGAAGAACAGTGGAAAACACTTAAGAAAACCATTAAAAGAAACATATAAATTTAGTATTACATATATAATTTTTAAAAAATATATGAAGTATAGTATAAAATGTTGCATAGCAAATAATATTTTGTAAAAATCCAGTGATATAATTTTATCATTTAAGATGATTCAAAAAATATATTTTGCTAAAAGCAAATCAAAATGTCATAGACAGTGAGTCCCTTTTGTGCAGCAGAGAGAAACGGGCTCCTGTACGCCAGGCACCTGTTCCCGCTACGTGGGGTCCAGCATGGATGCGGGACTGAGGTGCGGAGAGCCCCTCCCCCCTCGGCCAAGTCCACGGGTCACCCAGGCGGGCATCTGAGGGACGAGGGTCTACAGCTTGAGCACATGAACTCCAAGCCGCGAGCTGTCCCCAGGCAGATGCAGAGGCCCGGCTGGCCCCCGGAGGCTGTGCCGTCACTGGTAGGTGACCTTCACGCAAAACGTTTCTTCATTTTTGTCTTCGTGGTCGTTGATGTAGATCAGAATCTCCTTCACCCCAGCTCTCTGACACGGTGCAAACCGCAGGCCAATAGTGTAGGTCTCTCCCCCCTCAACCTGGAAGCAAGCATCGGAATCCTAGTACCCACCCTGTCAGCTCCTCTCCCGCTTCCAGCCACTTCTGTGCACACAAATGTATTTTCTCAAGCCCAGCAGGCCACACAGGCTGACAGGATTCTCAGCCGGAGGCTCCAGCCTCTGGGGCCTGGGTGGCTGGAGCCAGGAGCCCCCCAACCATGGCCCCAAGGCTTGCCTCCTGGCCATGCCACTGGGAGGCCCCGGGACACGCTGCTCTTCTCTCACTCTCAGGGGATGCTTCGCGACGGGAGAAATTCTCCACTTGGGGGCAGACTGGGGTCTGCTTCTGTCCTTAAAACACTCACAGCACATAAATGGCTAAGTTTCGGGATGGTTCTGAATAGAAGTGCAGAAACTGCAGGGAAGGCTGGCCTGGGCCCAGACCCTCACTGGGGCCTAGACGGGGGGCTCAGGCGCAGGCAGCAGGGCGCAGAAGGCGACCCTTGCTGTTTCAAAGCCTCACTTGACTCAGAAAGGCACTGTTCACCCCCAGGACTTTTGGAAGGCCACCATCATTAGATAAAATTGCTCCAAAATGCAGCCCTGGCCGCCCTGCCCTCTGGGCCCACACGCAGGAGGGCCCGCATGCAGACAGCCCGCCCGCTGACCTGGAAGGAGTCCTCCTTGAACTGCAGCAGGTCGGGGTGGTCACTGTGCAGGTGGAAAGTCCTCCGGGTGGGGTAGGGGTTGGTGTAGGTGATCCGCTTGTTGGCGCCCTGACCTTCCCCGGCGGCCAGCTTGATCTCAAAGGCCTGTGGGGGACGCATTTCCTGAACCTCCTCTGTGTGGGCGGCTCCATAAATACAACAGGTAAGCTACTAAGCCCCCAGCTGAGGGGCCTCAAAGGACAGAAGCAGCCCCCACCCCAACGCCTGGGCCGGAGAGGGCAGGAGGAGGAGATTCCTGCCTGAACCCAGGCAGGCCTGGGTCACCAGCCTGATGACGATCAGGCGATACCACCCATACCAGGGTCACTGCCTCCCCTCCCTCCAGACCTTGGAAATGAGAGGCAGGCGGCAGGAAAGGCACACGAGCCACGAGGCCACCAGCTGGTGGAAGTCCACGTCGACCAGGTTGAGGTGGAGGAACCGGCTGCCCGCCCTGAGTGGGCGCACGCCCACGTGCAGGTCCTGTACCCCGTGGGGGGGCAGCACAAAGACGCCCTTGGGGTCCGTCTTCAAGAACAAGAGAAGAGAAGTGGGTCAGATGGGGCCCCTCTTCCGTGTAGCCCCAGGGCCCAAGGGAGCCCCAGCTGCCCCAGGGCGACCTGCGCCGAGGGGGCACGCGGCCTGCGCAAGGTCAGAGGGGCATGAGAGAAAACGCAGAGCTGAAGCCAGCCCACTGTCAGAGCCAGCGCCGCTGCATGTCACCATGTCACCGTCGGGTCGGGCAAGTGCCCCTCCCGTGCGGACATGGCCCCCTAAGTGGCAGGGCTGCCTGGGCAGGAGGCACCTTTGCAAGCTCAGCTCTCCGCCAGCCCCCAGATCTGCACACCCTCGTCATCCAGAGGCCGCCTGAACTGTGCTGAGTGACTATTAACACTGACTTCTCGTGATTCTCAACACTGGCCCTGGGGGCTTATATGTCACTCATCCCACGATGGCACAGATAAAAGGCAATCTGAGAGAAGACTCTGCCAAAGAGGGTTTCCGCCCGAAGGAGCCATGAACCTGTCCTCAGGACCAGCCTTGGGCTGCAGCCCAGGGGCAGACGGCCCAGCAACGTACCATCAGCTCCTGGGGGTGCGAGGTGAATGCTCTCACTTTCCTAACCGCCTGTGTCCCCCGGAGGACGAGGGACAGGCGGGTCCACTGGCCTGTGACACAGGCGACATCCACACGCTGCAGGGAGTGCAGGTGGACCTGCCATATCTGGAGGGGTGTCGCCAGCCAGCGGTCCCTGCAAGGACAGAGGCCTTCAGCAGCGTCGGGGGGCAGCAGTACCCACAGGGAGAGGCCGCGAGTCAGGGCTGGAGCACAGCTGCCACCCGGCAGGCACATCCCCCTCCACAGAAGGCCCTGGGCCAGGGCTGCAGGCTTATGCCTCATTGGACCCTGCATGGGACGCCTTGAATGGATGATGGCAGTGTGCATCCTGGGCCACTTAAATCCCAACTCTGGTCCCTGAGGCAAAGCCCAGGGGGAGCACATGTGGGCCAGAACATGAGCTTGGAGGTCACGCGGGCCTGAGGGCAGGAACTCCGTGCTTGGTGCTGTGGGACCAGCCTTTACTGTGAAGGGGGCCTTGGTAACGCAGCCCCGCAGGGTCATCCTCTGGCGTGACCCCACGGCATGTGGTGGCCGGATGCAGCCCTCAGCCTGACGGCACTGACAGGCCCTCCCCCGCTCTGTTGGAAGGGCTTCGCCCCTTTGAAAGGGTCCTCGGGAGCTGGGAAGCACGACTGTGGGGGGAAGGTAACGGGACTGGGGTATTTCAGAGGGTAAGGGAAGCAGAGGGCGCACTGGTCAGTCTTCAGGCCACCCTCCATCCCCCTGGGCGGACTGCAGTGACGGGGCCCCGGGCACTGTTCCGGAGAAGCTGCCTCGAGTCTCTCCCCCTGGTGGGCTTCGCTCCGCCCTCGGGCTGCTGCTGCTCTGAGCAGAGGGCACCCTCTGCAAGGCCCCTGCCGGCCTGACTCAGCTCACACAGCAAAGGCCCAGCGCCTCCCGGCAGCTCAGAGCACCACCCTGCACTCCCGCCCCTTACACGTCTCCGGACCACAGGGCTCACGCACTTACGTGTAAATGGTGATGAAGAAGTCTTTGATCTCTGGGCTGGGACCACTAGCCACCTTCAGGAACACGTCCCGCGGCTCCCCGGGGCCCTGCCGGACAGGGGGGCACAACACGAGAACGCTGTCTCTGCTCTGAGCTCAGCCCCTCAAAGTCCACTCCAGCTGAAAGCAGGTGTGAGCCAAGCCCCCCGCCCCCAACAAATGTTTAATTTTCTGTACTAGTCAAAATTCATGATTGTTTTCAGTGCAAAAGCAAAAGTTATTAACTCCTGATTCATACTGAGTCCAACAATCATATTCTGCAGGAGATATTATCAGCCTCCTGACCAGTCACAACACAGTTATTGTTATCCTCACTCAATGGCAATTAATCAGTGGCTTAATTACTGTTCACTTTATTCACTGTGCTTCGTGCCTTTTCTTTTCATCTAAATTCAGATAACTAAGGAACGGATCTGCCAGCAGAAAAAATGAGCTCATAAAGCTCTCCTGAGGATGTCAAAGCGGCCCTTCACACCTGCACTGAAAGCATGAAAAGAGGCGGCCGCAGACAAGGGGGTGCAGGGCTGGGGCAGCTGGGAAGGGTCTGCCCGAGGCCAGGGCTCAACAGAACCTACCACACTGTGGGTCTCACAAATGACATTTGGGTCGCTGCATCGGACGTGGACCGGGGGCTCTGAGCCGGGCGTCCCCACGGGAACACCTGGAGTGGGGACACCAAAACAAGCAAACGACTCTCAGCAGCCTGGGCCATGTCACAGATGGCTCTGCGTGTCACATCACGGTCTGAGACAGGCCTGGCCCATCACTGGTGCTCACCAACACCACCTGGGGAAACCGCTGATGCCCCCTCCATCCCACTCCACGCCTGCAGGGCATCTGGCCCTTCCCTGTGCTCTGCCGCCTCCTCGGGGACTCACCCAAAGGGAGTCACCAAACAGTAAAGGGAAGCACCGCGGAGCAAGGCGCTGGGCACAAAAGCCCAGGTGTGGCTTGTGGGGCAACAGACGGAAATAAGCATGTCCGCGGATGGCATGCAAGACCCCAGGCTGGCCCACGGGTGTGGGTTTGAGGAGGGCAGTCAGCTAGCCATGCATACACCCTGCCTCCAGAGACGAGAAGGTCCCATTCCAAGCATTAGGGGCAGGGGGCAGAAGTCAGAGGCATGTCACATGTTTTTGGAGTAGCATCAGGGAATGATGGAATGATGCCCTTGTCATCTTGGGAAAGCTTTTCCCTTCTGTTGAACCTGCAAAATGCCAGCCCTGGGGACAGGCAAAACCTGCCTGGAAGCGTGTGCCAGGGAGGCAGGCGGATGGCCTTCTTCAGGAAGGTGAGCTCTGGGTGGTAGAAGCGGAAGACCTGGTCCACCACGTGGGGCTGGGGTTCCACCGTCAGGCAGAGCACGGCCATGGGCTTGCCACCACTCCCGCGGAACAAGACCTGCCAAGAGGGCACGTGGCGCTGGCATCAGGAGCGCACACGGGCTCATGGGAAGCCGCGCACACCGCACCCTCTGTGAAGAGAGGGTCAGGGGCCCCTGCAGGGTCCACTTGCCCACGTAAGGTGGGAAGGGCAGGCATCGTCAGAAAGGGGGACAGGGTCTGCTGCAGCAGGTGCCCACATGGAGAGGACATGCTCAGCTCCAGGCCTGCATGTGGGCATGATTTTACAATGTGCCTGCTGCTACTTCTCGTGAGTAAGGTACATGCCTAGAACCCAGTGAGAATGGTGGGCATCCCCAACATTAAATACGCCTTCAGACACTGTCCCACCTTTGGTACACCTGCCGTGTGCGTGAAACTGAACAGGTCCTCACGGGGTGGGGGACATGCTGCCCTGAGCACATGCAGTGCAGAGGCTAAAGGAAGCCATACCTGGGCCAAAGGGCTGGACACACAAACTTCCTTTTTCAAAAAAGAAGTTGCTCACTAAAAACCTCATGTGCCCAAAAGAGGTGCTGGTCCGGACAGCTGGGAGAACAGACCACTCCCTCAGCCTGGCCCGGTGTGTGCCGCAGGCCCATGCTGGGCACCAGCACCTAGCCCAGCGCCCAGGGCCGAGCATCCTTCCCACGTCAGGGCCAAGACTGGGCCCCCAGACAACCCACCACCTGGGAAGGATGTTCCTCTGCCTTGGTAAGTTTTACTGAGAAATCTTTCAGATGTACACATATAAAAGGATTTATACGTAAAAATCTGTTGTCATGAATTTTAACAGGACAGCCACCATGAGCCCGTGGCCCTGTTTGGAACAAGCCTGCCATCCACACTGCCAAGCTCTCTGTGCCCCAGACCCACCTGACGCAGGCAGCCTGCCCCACATCAGAGCCACCCTCCCGACCTCCGTGGCCATCGTCCCCAGGTATCTCTGCCGTTTTCCCCCCTTGTGGGTCTTTAAACAACACTGGGCTTCGTTCTGCCTATCTGGAGCCCCACTTGAGAGCCATGACCCCACAGGGCTGTTCCTGCTCGCCCACACACCCACCCGACCTCGCAGTCCAGGCTGGATCTCAGGCCCACTGGCCTTCCTCTGAGCGTCTGGTCTTCATCTCTAGTTTCATCTCTCTGCTCCCACTCTGAGCGTCTGAATCATTATGTCCAGCTTCGTCCCCCTGCTCCCCAGCACTAAGAGGGGCAGGTCACTGGTTCCTGCCATTTCTACCTCCTTAAAACTGGGGAGTTCTGAGTGGACTCTTTCAGTGACCCGGTCAGCAGCATCATGCCGCGTTAACAATGCTTCATGTTAAGTTCTCTCTTAAAGAAGCTGTGTGGTTCCCGCCTCTGCCTGCTCATGCAGCCACCTTCCCAGGGCTACTCAGCGGGGCCGGGTAAGCAGCCAGGCGGGAGGACAGGGTGCATCCAGCCCACGGCAGTCATGGGACACACTCCCGTCACTCTAGGGCACCTATGAAAATGAGTCATCAGATTAAGAGTCTCCACCACAACTGCCTGAATTCTGATGACTCCCGGGGCCCCTCCTGCTCTGCTGTGTCTTTCTCCGCAGCATGACTATTTCCTGTATCAGGTATGATCATTCCCCACCAAAATGGAAACCATATGGGTGGCTATTAGCAGGGTCCCGGGCCACACCGGGGGCCTGGACACAAGACCAGGGGCCCCACCCACTGTCCGAGTGGCCAAGGGTCCCAAGTGGCAGCAAGGTGTGAGCACCCAGACCCAAGAACCTGCGGCCTAGAAGACCCACCCCGCTGAACCTCCCTCCAGACCTAGAGCAGCCCAGCAGTGACGCCCACGGAAACAGCAAGGCAACAATCCTGCCTCTGGAGAACCTGCGATATAACGGGAAGCCTCAGACAGAGCTTTCATATTCCCTGTAGTTTTTATGGCACTAAGATCTAAAAGAGTTGACAACATTTGTACATCAAGTAAAAGCTTCAAAAATGGTCCTCGGTGCAAAATGGGGCAGCCCCTCCGGAGAGGGACTCGGTGGAGCTGCAGGACGCCAGGCTGCTCACTGAGCATCCGGAGGAAGAGCGGAGGGCGGGCGCGGCCCAGTTGCCCACGGGGTCGGAGCGCGGCTCAGACCCAGGACCTCGGTCACGGCCTGCACATGAGTGCGCGTGACACACACACACACGAGGAGAAAAGCGGGGTCAGGAATGGAAGCAGGATCTTTTGGACTGTATCTCATTTTACAGTTTGATTTTAGATTCGTGTAGATGTTTTTAGTTAATTAAAAACAACTGAATTAAATCAAAGAAAAAAAACAAAGGATCTATACACACTGAAAACAAATGAAACAAACCTAGCTGTATATCAAGTTGGTGATAACCATACAGAGAAAAATTCTTTAGATAAATTTGAAACTCAGGACAAAAAGNACCTTCGCGTGCAGGGCAAAGCCGCTGTCCCAGGCCTCACGGGGGTCCCGAGGCAGCCGGCTCTCCTGTCCATCACCTGGCTGCAGAGGCCAGCTGGACCAGGATGTGGGGACCAGGAAGTCAGAGTGAGCTGGGAACGCTGCCTCCCCCTCGGGCATCGGCTCAGACGCCCTTGGATTCACCAAGGGAGGGTCAGGGCCCACCACCGCTGGCTGCCCGGAGGGCACACTGGCTGGGCGTGGGGTTTGGGCCCCAGGGGATGAGCCCAGGGCCAGCTGGATCAGAGCCGCGGTGCAAGCTCTTACTTAACACTGAAATTTATCATAAAAGAAATCTGTTCTTTGTGAGAAAAGGGGCAGAAAAAGGAAAGAGAGGAGGGAGGGCCCTGCTTGGCAGCACAGGGGCTTGAGAAGCACAGCCCGTCTTGTACCCTTTCTGTTCTCATTCCCGGGGGTGGGGGCTTCAAGTCCTTCTCTGGGGCCTAGAGGGACCAGCAGGCCACAGTCCCCCTGGGGACAGGAGGAGGGGACAGGAGGAAGGCGCAGAGGAGAGGTGAGCTTCTGTGCATGCGGAAGCCACCTTTCTTTCTGCCGTGAAGCACAAACGCCCACAAGCAGAGCCCAGCTTCCCCTGCCCCAGGGGCACCGAGGCCTGGACTTCTCCCTGTGCCTACAAACCCTCGTGACCACCCAGTCCCTCCAGCCCTGGCTATTCCCACTCACGCCACCCTCTGCTTGGACCTCACCCCCTCAGAGAGGCGTCGACCTCCCTTCTAGAACAGAAGCCGCCCTCCGCGCCCTAACCCTGTTCGTCCTCTTCACAGACTCAATGCCTGAGTGTGTGTGACATGCCCACTCCTCCACTAGGAGGTTAGTTCCTGACCTGGGGCAGGAGCCATGTCTGTCTCAAGGCACCTCAGTGTCCCTGCCGCCCACACAGTGCCCAGCACAGAGGAGCACGCAAAAGCCCAAGTCAGACAGGTGGATGGAGGGATGGGTGAGTGGATGGATGGAGGGATGGGTGGGGGAGGGATGATGGAGTGGCCGAGCACAGGCTCTCTGCCTGCTTTCATCTCTCTTGCCAAAGACCTTGCCACTGAGCCCTCAATGGCCACCCATGGGCCAGGCTGGCATGCCGAGGAGGGGCACCCACAGCCTGCCACCCGACCCGCCTGGGGGAGCCATCCCCCTTGGTGCTGCCGGCCCCGCCCCTGCCCTGGGTGCCTGCACACACACAGGGACTGTGCAGACATATGCACCTGCCTTGCTGGGGACGGGGCACAGTGCTGTCATACACTTTGCAATTGTTGGGACAGCTTTTTACAGTCCCCTTACCTGGGCACCCAGAGCTGAAGGGCCCCAGTGGCCCCCACTTTGGTCTTTGTCCACAAACTAGACGTGGGGTAAGGCGGTCCTGTGGCCCCAAAGCTGCATATAACCAAACTGGATGCCCACTGCCTCTGCCTCTAGAGGGAAAGTGGCCGCTCTGTGATTTCCAGCTCCTGGAAGCATCTGGAGCTGGAAGAGGTGGAGGTGCAAAGGTCCTGTGCATCCCCTCTCCACCCCCTCCTCCTCCCACCCATCTCAGCTGGGACAGCCAGGAGTCAGGTTCCAGAGCCATCTCCCTTCAAAGGAGCTCATCTGGGACCTTCCTGTCCAGGGCTTGACAGTAAGCTGGGAGCCACGGTGCCACAGGCCCTCAACTGTCCCCAGGGAGACGGACCCCAGACCCTGACCGCCTGCCAGCAGCCTCCTGGCAAAGGTGTGAGAGACAGAACAATGTGGCTCACGCCGCAAGTGGTGGGGACCAAGCTGTCTTTAGGGAGAGTAAATCTCCGCAGAGCCTCCAAATGCTGTTTCATGGCCTATGAAGACCTTTCAGGAGTTTAAGTGAGGCCATCTCCTTCTCCACTACCCTGAGAAGCCAGCCTGCTACTGTCACCCGGGGCATCGGCTGTCCCCAGGGAGGCCGCCCTTCCCCACGACCCCGCATTGTGTCTCTCCTCCCGCCCACCACAGCCCCCATGGCCACAGACAGCTGGCTCAGGCCTGCATGCGGTCCTGGAACTGCAAGGCTGGGGCTGCCTCTGCAGCCTGAGGGGTCCAGGCCCAGGCCTCCCGCTGAGCCCCCAGGCCCCCAGCCACTCCCCGTCCTTTCTCACCCAGTTCTGCAGGCGGAGCCCTCCCCTGCTCATCCTGCCCTGCGGCACAGTGCACCTGCTGAGGCGGAGAAAACAGCCCCAGTCGCCCTCCCCAGCAAGAGGGCAGGAAAGAGATGGGCCACGGCGGCTTCATACTCACACCCACAAACATGCCTTTAAAGCCATCCCTCTGTTGGGACAAACCTGTGTGCCCCACCGGCACAGCTATCACAACCCATGAGCAGGTGTGCATCCTGAAATCCTTCACCAGGGCTGCAAAGCCTGGCAGAAACCACCAAGCACTAAAGCCACCAGCGTGGCCGAGCAGCCCTTTCACCCACCTCACTGGGGTATGGTGGCAGCCAGCGGAGCAAGGAAGGATGGATGGGGACAGACAGGCTGCCCGGAGGGTGCAGCTGAGCGACAAGCCCCAACTATGCCCCAGCTATGCCTCCATCACGCGGAGCTCGGCAGGCGACACGGCTGACCGAGGCCTGGACGCCACCCTCCCGGCTCAGGGCCTGTTCCCTGGATCCGGGCTGCTTGCCCGTGGACTGGCGTGGGGTGCAGACAAGTGGGCAGCAGGCATACAACTCGGAGGCCACCCGGAAGAGGAGCCAAGGCGGGGCAGCTGAACAGAGACGAGGTGACCCCTGCGACACTACCAGAGCCAGGACAGGTGCAGTCTCCAATGGCGCTGGGGGCGCTGAGTCTCAGCTCGGGTCCAGGGGCGTCTGGTGCCCCATCCCTCACCTGTGGGGCATCTGACCACTGGGCCACCTCGATGACCTCTCCAAAGAGCCTGCTCAGTGGTTTCCAAGCGACCCCAGGCCCCGGGTGTCGCTCCTGACCTCAGGAAGCGCTCCTCAGTCCACGCTGCGGGGGGACCCACCCCACAGGCTACTCACAACGAGTTCTGCTTCTCATCTGCACGTCCGGACGCTGCCTACCAGCCTGCGGAGGCTCCTCCGCACCCCAAATTGAGAATGGAGCGCCGCACTGGCTGCCAGGCGCCCTCACTTTCTTTTTATCCATATTTTTCCTACAGACTGAAGGTGAATTTTTGTTTATCAGACCTCATGATGCTCTGCCCCTCGGTGATGACCATCACCAGGTCCTGTCCGCATCTCCTAAGCGTGCTTCCAGTGGCCCGCTTCCCACCATCCCACCAGCAACACTGGCAGACTGCTGGCTGTTCCCCAAAACCTGCTCTTGCCCTGCTTAGCAATACCACCTGCAAAATTCCCTGGCAACACGACCACCTGCAAGGAGGACAATGTTCCCCAGGCCCTTTGGAGTTGGCACATGGAGTGGCCCTTCGGAGTGACTACGTTCTGGCCCATGGGCTGTGGTGGGGATAAGGGCCCAGGGGTATCCCCGTCCTAACCCCTGGAAGCTGTGACTGTGCCCTGACAAGGGAAAGGGATTTGTGCCTGTGGGACGAAGCTGAGGACCTTGAGACGGAGCAGCTGGCCCGGCTTTCCTGGGTGGGCCCCACGTCATCCCAAGGGCCCTTAGTGGAGAAGGTGGGAGGGGCGAGGGAGGCAGACAGAGGAGATGTGCCAACAGAGGCGGAGGCCAGAGTTGCCCCTCCCGTCAGGCCTGAGCAGGCCCCCCAGGAGGCAGGCTGTGGGCCCAGCACACCTGAGTGTCCCTCAACCACATCCTCAAGGGAAAGCCAGGTTTATGCAGTGCACAGACAATGGGAAGAACAGTGGAAAACACTTAAGAAAACCATTAAAAGAAACATATAAATTTAGTATTCCATATATAATTTTTAAAAAATATATGAAGTATAGTATAAAATGTTGCATAGCAAATAATATTTTGTAAAAATCCAGTGATATAATTTTATCATTTAAGATGATTCATAAAATATATTTTGCTAAAAGCAAATCAAAATGTCATAGACAGTGAGTCCCTTTTGTGCAGCAGAGAGAAACGGGCTCCTGTACGCCAGGCACCTGTTCCCGCTACGTGGGGTCCAGCATGGATGCGGGACTGAGGTGCGGTGAGCCCCTCCCCCCTCGGCCAAGTCCACGGGTCACCCAGGCGGGCATCTGAGGGACGAGGGTCTACAGCTTGAGCACATGAGCTCCAAGCCGCGAGCCGTCCCCAGGCAGATGCAGAGGCCCGGCTGGCCCCCGGAGGCTGTGCCGTCACTGGTAGGTGACCTTCACGCAAAACGTTTCTTCATTTTTGTCTTCGTGGTCGTTGATGTAGATCAGAATCTCCTTCACCCCAGCTCTCTGACATGGTGCAAACCGCAGGCCAATAGTGTAGGTCTCTCCCCCCTCAACCTGGAAGCAAGCATCGGAATCCTAGTACCCACCCTGTCAGCTCCTCTCCCGCTTCCAGCCACTTCTGTGCACACAAATGTATTTTCTCAAGCCCAGCAGGCCACACAGGCTGACAGGATTCTCAGCCGGAGGCTCCAGCCTCTGGGGCCTGGGTGGCTGGAGCCAGGAGCCCCCCAACCATGGCCCCAAGGCTTGCCTCCTGGCCATGCCACTGGGAGGCCCCGGGACACGCTGCTCTTCTCTCACTCTCAGGGGATGCTTCGCGACGGGAGAAATTCTCCACTTGGGGGCAGACTGGGGTCTGCTTCTCTCCTTAAAACACTCACAGCACATAAATGGCTAAGTTTCGGGATGGTTCTGAATAGAAGTGCAGAAACTGCAGGGAAGGCTGGCCTGGGCCCAGACCCTCACTGGGGCCTAGACGGGGGGCTCAGGCACAGGCAGCAGGGCGCAGAAGGCGACCCTTGCTGTTTCAAAGCCTCACTTGACTCAGAAAGGCACTGTTCACCCCCAGGACCTTTGGAAGGCCACCATCATTAGATAAAATTGCTCCAAAATGCAGCCCTGGCCGCCCTGCCCTCTGGGCCCACACGCAGGAGGGCCCGCGTGCAGACAGCCCCCCTGCTGACCTGGAAGGAGTCCTCCTTGAACTGCAGCAGGTCGGGGTGGTCACTGTGCAGGTGGAAAGTCCTCCGGGTGGGGTAGGGGTTGGTGTAGGTGATCCGCTTGTTGGCGCCCTGACCTTCCCCGGCGGCCAGCTTGATCTCAAAGGCCTGTGGGGGACGCATTTCCTGAACCTCCTCTGTGTGGGCGGCTCCATAAATACAACAGGTAAGCTACTAAGCCCCCAGCTGAGGGGCCTCAAAGGACAGAAGCAGCCCCCACCCCAACGCCTGGGCCGGAGAGGGCAGGAGGAGGAGATTCCTGCCTGAACCCAGGCAGGCCTGGGTCACCAGCCTGATGACGATCAGGCGATACCACCCATACCAGGGTCACTGCCTCCCCTCCCTCCAGACCTTGGAAATGAGAGGCAGGCGGCAGGAAAGGCACACGAGCCACGAGGCCACCAGCTGGTGGAAGTCCACGTCGACCAGGTTGAGGTGGAGGAACCGGCTGCCCGCCCTGAGCGGGCGCACGCCCACGTGCAGGTCCTGCACCCCGTGGGGGGGCAGCACAAAGACGCCCTTGGGGTCCGTCTTCAAGAACAAGAGAAGAGAAGTGGGTCAGATGGGGCCCCTCTTCCGTGCAGCCCCGGGGCCCAAGGGAGCCCCAGCTGCCCCAGGGCGACCTGCGCCGAGGGGGCACACGGCCTGCGCAAGGTCAGAGGGGCATGAGAGAAAACGCAGAGCTGAAGCCAGCCCACTGTCAGAGCCAGCGCCGCTGCATGTCACCATGTCACCGTCGGGTCGGGCAAGTGCCCCTCCGGTGCAGACATGGCCCCCTAAGTGGCAGGGCTGCCTGGGCAGGAGGCACCTTTGCAAGCTCAGCTCTCCGCCAGCCCCCAGACCTGCACACCCTCGTCATCCAGATGCACAGCTGTGGCCGCCTGAACTGTGCTGGGTGACTATTAACACTGACTTCTCGTGATTCTCAACACTGGCCCTGGGGGCTTATATGTCACTCATCCCACGATGGCACAGATAAAAGGCAATCTGAGAGAAGACTCTGCCAAAGAGGGTTTCCGCCCGAAGGAGCCATGAACCTGTCCTCAGGACCAGCCTTGGGCTGCAGCCCAGGGGCAGACAGCCCAGCAACGTACCATCAGCTCCTGGGGGTGCGAGGTGAATGCTCTCACTTTCCTAACCGCCTGTGTCCCCCGGAGGACGAGGGACAGGCGGGTCCACTGGCCTGTGACACAGGCGACATCCACACGCTGCAGGGAGTGCAGGTGGACCTGCCATATCTGGAGGGGTGTCGCCAGCCAGCGGTCCCTGCAAGGACAGAGGCCTTCAGCAGCGTCGGGGGGCAGCAGTACCCACGGGGAGAGGCCGCGAGTCAGGGCTGGAGCACAGCTGCCACCCGGCAGGCACATCCCCCTCCACAGAAGGCCCTGGGCCAGGGCTGCAGGCTTATGCCTGATTGGACCCTGCATGGGACGCCTTGAATGAATGATGGCAGTGTGCATCCTGGGCCACTTAAATCCCAACTCTGGTCCCTGAGGCAAAGCCCAGGGGGAGCACATGTGGGCCAGAACATGAGCTTGGAGGTCACGCGGGCCTGAGGGCAGGAACTCCGTGCTTGGTGCTGTGGGACCAGCCTTTACTGTGAAGGGGGCCTTGGTAACGCCGCCCCACAGGGTCATCCTCTGGCGTGACCCCACGGCATGTGGTGGCCGGATGCAGCCCTCAGCCTGACGGCACTGACAGGCCCTCCCCCGCTCTGTTGGAAGGGCTTGCGCCCCTTTGAAAGGGTCCTGGGGAGCTGGGAAGCACGACTGTGGGGGAAGGTAACGGGACTGGGGTATTTTGGAGTGTAAGGGAAGCAGAGGGCGCACTGGTCAGTCTTCAGGCCACCCTCCATCCCCCTGGGCGGACTGCAGTGACGGGGCCCCGGGCACTGTTCCGGAGAAGCTGCCTCGAGTCTCTCCCCCTGGTGGGCTTCGCTCCGCCCTCAGGCTGCTGCTGCTCTGAGCAGAGGACACTGCTGCAAGGCCCCTGCTGGCCCCAGACTCAGCTCACACAGCAAAGGCCCAGCGCCTCCCGGCATCTCAGAGCACCACCCTGCACTCCCGCCCCTCACACGTCTCCGGACCACAGGGCTCACGCACATACGTGTAAATGGTGATGAAGAAGTCTTTGATCTCTGGGCTGGGACCACTAGCCACCTTCAGGAACACGTCCCGCGGCTCCCCGGGGCCCTGCCGGACAGGGGGGCACAACACGAGGACGCTGTCTCTGCTCTGAGCTCAGCCCCTCAAAGTCCACTCCAGCTGAAAGCAGGTGTGAGCCAAGCCCCCCGCCCCCAACAAATGTTTCCTTTTCTGTACTAGTCAAAATTCACGATTGTTTTCAGTGCAAAAGCAAAAGTTATTAACTCCTGATTCATACTGAGTCCAACAATCATATTCTGCAGGAGATATTATCAGCCTCCTGACCAGTCACAACACAGTTATTGTTATCCTCACTCAATGGCAATTAATCAGTGGCTTAATTACTGTTCACTTTATTCACTGTGCTTCGTGCCTTTTCTTTTCATCTAAATTCAGATAACCAAGGAACGGATCTGCCAGCAGAAAAGATGAGCTCATAAAGCTCTCCGGAGGATGTCAAAGCGGCCCTTCACACCTGCACTGAAAGCATGAAAAGAGGCGGCCGCAGACAAGGGGGTGCAGGGCTGGGGCGGCTGGGAAGGGTCTGCCCGAGGCCAGGGCTCAACAGAACCTACCACACTGTGGGTCTCACAAATGACATTTGGGTCGCTGCATCGGACGTGGACCGGGGGCTCTGAGCCGGGCGTGCCCACGGGAACACCTGGAGTGGGGACACCAAAACAAGCAAACGACTCTCAGCAGCCTGGGCCATGTCACAGACAGCTCTGCGTGTCACATCACGGTCTGAGACAGGCCTGGCCCATCACTGGTGCTTACCAACACCACCTGGGGAAACCGCTGATGCCCCCTCCATCCCACTCCACGCCTGCAGGGCATCTGGCCCTTCCCTGTGCTCTGCCGCCTCCTCGGGGACTCACCCAAAGGGAGTCACCAAACAGTAAAGGGAAGCACCGTGGAGCAAGGCGCTGGGCACAAAAGCCCAGGTGTGGCTTGTGGGGCAACAGATGGAAACAAGCATGTCCGCGGATGGCATGCAAGACCCCAGGCTGGCCCACGGGTGTGGGTTTGAGGAGGGCAGTCAGCTAGCCATGCATACACCCTGCCTCCAGAGACGAGAAGGTCCCATTCCAGGCATTAGGGGCAGGGGGCAGAAGTCAGAGGCGTGTCACATGTTTTTGGAGTAGCATCAGGGAATGATGGAATGATGCCCTTGTCACCTTGGGAAAACTTTCCCCTTCTGTTGAACCTGCAAAATGCCAGCCCTGGGGACAGGCAAAACCTGCCTGGAAGCGTGTGCCAGGGAGGCAGGCGGATGGCCTTCTTCAGGAAGGTGAGCTCTGGGTGGTAGAAGCGGAAGACCTGGTCCACCACGTGGGGCTGGGGTTCCACCGTCAGGCAGAGCACGGCCATGGGCTTGCCACCACTCCCGCGGAACAAGACCTGCCAAGAGGGCACATGGCGCTTGCATCAGGAGCACACACGGGCTCATGGGAAGCCGCACACACCGCACCCTCTGTGAAGAGAGGGTCAGGGGCCCCTGCAGGGTCCACTCGCCCCCATAAGGTGGGAAGGGCAGGCATCGTCAGAAAGGGGGACAGGGTCTGCTGCAGCAGGTGCCCACATGGAGAGGACATGCTCAGCTCCAGGCCTGCATGTGGGCATGATTTTACAATGTGCCTGCTGCTACTTCTCGTGAGTAAGGTACATGCCTAGAACCCAGTGAGAACGGTGGGCATCCCCAACATTAAATACGCCTTCAGACACTGTCCCGCCTTTGGTACACCTGCCGTGTGCGTGAAACTGAACAGGTCCTCACGGGGTGGGGGACACGCTGCCCTGAGCACATGCAGTGCAGAGGCTAAAGGAAGCCATACATGGGCCAAAGGGCTGGACACACAAACTTCCTTTTCAAAAAAGAAGTTGCTCACTAAAAACCTCATGTGCCCAAAAGAGGTGCTGGTCCGGACAGCTGGGAGAACAGACCACTCCCTCAGCCTGGCCTGGTGCGTGCCGCAGGCCCATGCTGGGCACCAGCACCTAGCCCAGCGCCCAGGGCCAAGCATCCTTCCCACGTCAGGGCCAAGACTGGGCCCCCAGACAACCCACCACCTGGGAAGGACGTTCCTCTGCCTTGGTAAGTTTTACTGAGAAATCTTTCAGATGTACACATATAAAAGGATCTATACGTAAAAATCTGTTGTCATGAATTTTAACAGGACGGCCACCATGAGCCCGTGGCCCAGTTTGGAACAAGCCTGCCGTCCACACGGCCAAGCTCTCTGTGCCCCAGACCCACCTGACGCAGGCAGCCTGCCCCACATCAGAGCCACCCTCCCGACCTCCGTGGCCACCGTCCCCAGGTATCTCTGCCGTTTTCCCCCCTTGTGGGTCTTTAAACAACACTGGGCTTCGTTCTGCCTATCTGGAGCCCCACTTGAGAGCCATGACCCCACAGGGCTGTTCCTGCTCGCCCACACACCCACCCGACCTCGCGGTCCAGGCTGGATCTCAGGCCCACTGGCCTCCCTCTGAGCGTCTGGTCTTCATCTCTAGTTTCATCTCTCTGCTCCCACTCTGAGCGTCTGAATCATTATGTCCAGCTTCGTCCCCCTGCTCCCCAGCACTAAGAGGGGCAGGTCACTGGTTCCTGCCATTTCTACCTCCTTAAAACTGGGGAGCTCTGAGTCGACTCTTTCAGTGACCCGGTCAGCAGCATCATGCCGCGTTAACAATGCTCCATGTTAAGTTCGCTCTTAAAGCAGCTGTGTGGTTCCCGCCTCTGCCTGCTCATGCAGCCACCTTCCCAGGGCTACTCAGCGGGGCCGGGTAAGCAGCCGGGCGGGAGGACAGGGTGCATCCAGCCCACGGCAGTCATGGGACACACTCCCGTCACTCTAGGGCACCTATGAAAATGAGTCATCAGATTAAGAGTCTCCACCACAACTGCCTGAATTCTGATGACTCCCGGGGCCCCTCCTGCTCTGCTGTGTCTTTCTCCGCAGCATGACTATTTCCTGTATCAGGTATGATCATTCCCCACCAAAATGGAAGCCATATGGGTGGCTATTAGCAGGGTCCCGGGCCACACCGGGGGCCTGGACACAAGACCAGGGGCCCCACCCACTGTCCGAGTGGCCAAGGGTCCCAAGTGGCAGCAAGGTGTGAGCACCCAGACCCAAGAACCTGCGGCCTAGAAGACCCACCCCGCTGAACCTCCCTCCAGACCTAGAGCAGCCCAGCAGTGACGCCCACGGAAACAGCAAGGCAACAATCCTGCCTCTGGAGAACCTGCGATATAACGGGAAGCCTCAGACAGAGCTTTCATATTCCCTGTAGTTTTTATGGCACTAAGATCTAAAAGAGTTGACAACATTTGTACATCAAGTAAAAGCTTCAAAAATGGTCCTCGGTGCAAAATGGGGCAGCCCCTCCGGAGAGGGACTCGGTGGGGCTGCAGGACGCCAGGCTGCTCACTGCGCATCTGGAGGAAGAGCAGAGGGCGGGCGCGGCCCAGTTGCCCACGGGGTCGGAGCGCGGCTCAGACCCAGGACCTCGGTCACGGCCTGCACATGAGTGCGCGTGACACACACACACACGAGGAGAAAAGCGGGGTCAGGAATGGAAGCAGGATCTTTTGGACTGTATCTCATTTTACAGTTTGATTTTAGATTCGTGTAGATGTTTTTAGTTAATTAAAAACAACTAAATTAAATCAAAGAAAAAAAACAAAGGATCTATACACACTGAAAACAAATGAAACAAACCTAGCTGTATATCAAGTTGGTGATAACCATACAGAGAAAAATTCTTTAGATAAATTTGAAACTCAGGACAAAAAGAACGACTCAGGAACCTCAAGCTGCAGGGTCCTGTTTGTGGCTGGCACTGATAGTCTGAGGCACACACACGCCAGCCAGCTTGGCCAGCAGCACGAGAACCGGAAGGACTGGCCAGCGAGTCAGTGGGCTGGTTATCTACAGGGGAACGGAGCAAAGTATATATATTGAAGATAATGGAGCCAGGTTTCCCACTGGCAAATGGGAATTACAAACATGGGGAAAGGCAGCTAGAACAGGCCCCCTGGTACTAGAAGCCCTGCTGGGAATGCATGGTCGTTGATGTAAGCAGGCAGATAATGGGGCTGTGACATGCATGTCCATGCACACATGTACTCCTTAGCTCTCTGCTGAGAACTAGAGGTGAGGACACCGTAGTGAGGCGCACACCCAACACCAGATCTTGGTTTCTAAGTAGCATTCTCCACGAAAGGGGAGTTTAGTTAAATGGCTGATTCCAGAAATGGAGCAGGGAAAGCATAAAATGACTCTGGAACACCTTGTACACCAGGCAGCTGACGTCCCCAAAGAACGAGGGGGACACGTTGAAAGGACACAGACGCCATCCTGAAGCGGCCACCACTGGGGGGTCAGGAACAATATGAGCAGCAAACCAAATAACGACAGTAACAAATTATAACCCACTAGTTAAAACAGGAATTCATGGCCTAGACGGGCACCAAGAACTAAGCTCTGTCTTACTCAGAACACCGGTCACACGTGTAAAGACAAGGTGGATCTGGAAGTCCCCATCAGGCAGCCCTGGCGCTGACGGCTCACCCAGCAGGAATCAAATTTCTCCTGGGCCCGGTCTACAGTCTCAGCACCTCCCACAGAACCTACTCATTACCTTCTGAGTATCACATGCGAAGTACTCCCTAATTCACAGTGAGGGAGCCTAGCAGATACCGTAACAAGGTAACACCACCAGTAATGAAACAACCAGGATCCTATCCCTCCCAACAAAGTCCTGAGAATACAAACTCCTGTGCTCTCCCTGCCCCAGAGCGTAACCTGAATCTAATCATGAGCAACCAACAGACAAGCCCAAGTGGAGGGACTTCTGCAAGATAACTGGCCAGTATGCTTCAAAAATAGTACAGCCATGAAAGGCTAGGAGGGCCTGGCAGTGCGCCGGGAAGACCAAAGAGACCCCTGTGACCTCATGGCTCTCCTGGGCTGACGGGCGAGAGTCCTCATTCTCAGGATACACAAGCTCTAGGTTTCATGGAGCAATGGGGTATCATGTCAATGAATTATGGGTGAACAGCTAAGATTCCCGGGATTGGCCTTAAAACTCCAAATTCACGTAGGAAAAATGTACTAGCCTCTCATTTAATCTACACGCTCCCTAGACGAAGGCAAAGCCATGGCTGCACCTTCACGTAAAACAAAACGAAGTTTCACTGCTGAGGTGGGCCCAGGGCTCCCACACGGGGAGCCGGAGCCGCTGTCCCCACTGGGACTGCATGGAAATACTCTGCCCTCCAGGCAGGGCTGGGGAGAAAGGGTAGGTTTTTGTTTTACTTTCAAATTACTGCAACAGGCATTTGGCTACAAAGAAAACACTTGATCAACCCCTATAAACGCCAGTGCCCCCAGCTCTTCCTGGGGCAGCCTCCACAGGCTGTCGGTGAGTGTTCACCTCACAAACACACCTTCCCTTAGAGGGGGAAGAGGCTGGAGCCTTACTTTGGGAAGTGGGCCCACACACCACGCTGATTCCACATAATGCGGGAATGCTGGGGATCAAGTCCAAAGGGCCAGGCTCGCCCCTGTGTGTGGGTCCATGGGCTGTGACAGCTGTACTTTCAGGGCAGCAGGCAGGCACCAGGGGCTCTGGCTTTGCACACAGGGCTACAAAACGGCAAGTTGACAGGGAGACGTTTCCAGACTAGGCACCCGCCCAGATTGTCACTGCCTGGGCAGGACATGAACAGCGCACTCCAGCGGCCTGTCCCCACCCCGCGCTGGACCCAGCCCGACCCCTCCTGCTAGGAGCACAGGGAAGGGCTGAGCAGCCAGGCCCCAGCGACCCGAGTAACAGGGGAACTCATGAACCCTTCGCTCAGTCCGCTCAGAGGACACCGGCACACAGGCAGGACCACGGAAATACCCAGGGTCCAAGGTCTGTCATCTGGCCCTTACCTTGGCATGCTTAGTGGGCACTGTAGTGGGCTTCCCAGGTGACCCGGCGTCTGCACCCTTCTCACACCTCAGCTCAGCGGAGCCCTGTGGGAGCCAGTCAACCCAGTGGGTCACAAGACAGAGTCCTGGAGTGCAGGTCCTTCTCCCTGCATTACAGCTGCCACCTGGCCAAAGGTCCCAGTGCACAGTCCCGTGTGCTCCCACAGTGACCCTCTGGGTGGCTACTGACATGATCCAGCCTCACGGCCCAGGGAGGCAGCAGAGGCAGCCGTGAGCGGACCGGCAAGCTGGACGTGGTGACCCAGCTGTCTGGAGCCAGAGGCCTGGGGTCCTCACCACTGCCCTTAGGACCTCTTGTCCCAAAAAGGCATCTAGAGAGCCTGCATGGGAATCTGGGAGCCTCTGGAACTCCTCAAGCCCACTTAAGTGATGATCATTATCCCACAGAATTCACCTCAAAAGGTCAATCAGACCCACACACATCCCCCCTGCACCCGCCCGTCCCTTACACGGAACCCCCAGGTCTCTGCGCCTTGTGCAGAGGAGCACCCGCTGCTGCTGTGAGAAGCAGGCAACCAGCACTAACCGGGGAGGCTGGGAACCCTCGGCTGAGCTGAGGTTGAGGGAGGCCCGTTCCAGTCCAGTGGGGGGCACTCAGAGGTTCCCGTCTAGCCTTTCCCAAGGCCCACCTCGCAGGGAAGGGGAGGCATCAGGCTGCAGTGCGCAGTGCCAGTGCCAGTGCCAGAGCCCGGGGGCCGGACGGCGCATCAGGCTGTGCGGCACGGCAGGAACACGTGCACACTCAGCCAGCCGTCGGTGACCCAGCAAACAGCATTCAGCCAAATGGGGTCTTCCCGTGCACCTGACAAGCCTGTGTGCTCAGAGAAGACGTCCCCACCTGACCCGCAGAGAAGGTCTGGTATTTGAAGGGGATGTGGGCAGTCTCCCTGGGGCGCAGGAAGAGCCGAGGGGCGAGGCCGCCCTGCAGGTGGAACATGTCCTCCTCTACCGGCGTGTGCAGGTTGGCCGCCTCCTTGAAGTACCTCCACTCCTGGCTGTCCACGACGATGCTGGGGGGCAGGGGACACAGCACTGAGGCAGGAACACTCTCGCCAGGAAGGCCCCTGAGGGGACAGGCCCCCTAACCCCCAGAGAGGGGCACTTAGTGCGTGGGTGGGAGCAGAGTGGGTAGGACCCTTGAGGGACAAGATGGGCTTAGCTTTCAGGCAGAACCGAGTCGTCTGCCACCAACCCAGTGGCGGCTGGGGGCCAGGTCAGGCCGCCTGGAGCTCCCACCTGAGCTCGGGGTTGTCCATCTCAATGGTCACCGTGTGCTGTGTGTTGTGGGGGTTCCTGAGCTCGAACTCGAAGAACTCGGCGGTGCCCAGCGTGGCATAGACCGTGTGCTCCTTGGTGATGGCCAGGCTCAGCACCCTGGCGATGTTCTCGGCCTTCGTGCGCTCCCGGTAGGCGGCGATGACCTGCAGGCCCCTCGAGTGCTGTGCACAGATGCTCTGCTGGGCCTGCAGGACACGGGACCCAACAGGGACCACGGTCGGGGGCACGCTCTCCTTCCTGAGGGCTATTCTCTGGCCACGCCCACACCCCAATACTAAATGTCTTCAGGAATCAGCACAGCCCCCTCCTCCACCATGTGGGCTGGTGGGACTGGCCCACTTCCAGCTCCAGCAGAGAGAGAATGGGCTATGCCTGACCCTCCTCAGGGAGGTCTGCGGCACTTCTGGCCTCTGTCCCCAAGGTGCTCTACCATAGGCGGTAGGGTCTGCCCTGCACACTCCCGAGAGGATACGAACGTCAGCTACCATCCAGGCTCTCCCAGCCTCAGGTTGGATCCAGGCGCAGTGGGGAATTAAAAGACAAGGTTTCTAACAAAGGAAAGAATGGCCTCAAAACTAAGACTGGTGACAGGCTCACCGGCCAAGGTCCACAGCATGGCAACAAGACCCTGTGTGTGAGCAAAGTCCCCAGGAGGGGACCCGCCTGGGCCTAACTGACCTCTGCGTGAGAGTCCAGACACGGGCACCCTTAGTGGGGCTTGGCCACACACCCGTCACCCACCCCCTCCTCGGATGCTCTGGGCCCCTATGGGCTTGACCACCACGTATATGCTGTAGAGGTTAGACGTGGGCCTTTTTGTCTCATATGCCTTCTATTTGTAAGGGAGGCCCACAGGAGACTGCTCTACAAGCTCTCAGACCTAGAGGCCACCCCTGCACTGGGGAGTCAGCCAGGCCCAGGGCTAGGACTTCAGAATGCTGACGTTCAGGCCTCAGAAGGCAGGGCCGCCTGAGTGCCCCGGGCTTCAAATCAAGGGGTGACAAACCCGATTCCTACTCAAGTTGCTCTGGATGCAGGCTCTCCAGTACCACACCCCTAGCAAGGAGACTGAAGCTGAGCCTCTCACTTCTCCATGGGGGTCTGGGACAGGAGGGCAGTCATGCCTGGTTTTGAGGCCTCCCCACGCGGGCACTTTATGATTAGATCTTCTCCGCATAGTGGGCCCTCTGTGCACTGCGCCAACTGGCCATCGTTCAGGGTGGCAAACAGAACAGGAGTGACTTTTCAACCCTGAGCTGAGAGAGTGTGTCGCCCAGACCCACCCCCAAGTGGAGGGGACAAACCTGTAGTGTCCATGGCGATGTGGCCCCCGGGACAATATGCTGCAGGTTGTAGGGGAGAGGCCACATGAAGGTGGGTGTTAGACTGACCACCATGCAGGGCAAGGTCACAGCCACTCCCCAGTTACCGCAGAGCAGACAGGTACCCTGGGGGTTGTCCCTGCCCCGTCCTCTGTCCTCTTTACCACAGCACAGAGGAATGGGTAGCCTGACACCCCGGCCTCTCTCCACCCACAGGAGATGAGGTAACTTATTTGATAGAAATTTCTGGAGCATGAACCAGGCAGGCGTAGCCCTGTCCTTCCCCTCCTCTTCCTTTTGGGACCCACATGCCTAGACAGCATCAGGCCCTCACACCGCTCGTGGCCAGGTGGCGAGGTCAGTGAGGAGGACCCTGCGGGTGCAGGCAGCCCCCTGCTGTCCATCTGGCATCAGCTGGACGGCGCGAGTCTGCGGGGCAACTTCAGGCTCAGCACACACACCTTGCCTGCACACACCAGCCAGCTCTCCAGGACCCACTCTACCAGTCATCAGAGTCACTGGCACAGCGGCGACACCGGCTCTCTCTGCCATATGCCCATCTCGTTTCTTAGTCAACTCAAATCCCAGACAGGCAAGGGTGCTGACTCTCGGTGGACCCCTCAGGCCCCAGGCGGCACGTCCACCACATGTCCCCGGGACCCGGTCAAGGATGGGCTCATCACCCAGTGAGAGCAGGGAGACCATGAGTAACTTGCTGGGATTCCTAGGAAGTAGAGCTCTCCCTTCTGCAGCACTTGGGGGTGGGGGTGACAACCTGAAACGGGGGGCTGGTGCTGCACATGCTTCCGAGGGCCGATCCGGGGCTGCTGGCGTGTCACTGCAGGGAGCACACAGGGCGGAGGGAGGGGTGGGGAGCTGGTCCCTGGTGACCATGCAGGCACTGAGGTCACAGACTGGGTGGGAGCCGGGCTCAGAGGGCTGGGATATCATGGTGGCTGGGACCTGGGCCCCAGCTGCTGTGCAGACCAGCACCGGGCTTTCCATCACTGGAGGCTCCAGGGAAACCCCCACAAGGAGATGACCTGCCAGCTCTTCTTCCCAGGCCTGGGGTCCAGGGAGAAGGTGCTCAGACCAAGTCCTTCCAGTGGCTGGGGCTTTGCCCGCTCACAGTGCCTGGCACGGACCAAAGGCAGTCACAAGGGCCAGCCGCTGTCCAGGCGCCAGACTCTCACAAGGAGGTCTGTGACCCCCAAGGCCCAGCGGGCCTCTGAACACAGGATCTGGCCTCCTGCTCCGTGCTTCTCCCGCGGCCACACCACCTTCCCCAAGGAGTCTGAGACGCTCGGCCCCCCTCAAGTCTGTGAAGACTGTCAGGGAAGAAAGCCACTCGCTGAGTTGTTCTCTGCCTCCCGACGCACGAGGCCCAGTGCCGGAGCCTTCCATGACCTCATCACACACGCAAAGGTCCAGGCCAGGGACTCGCCCTTAAAAGCTGTCCCGCACCAAACTCCTCCAAAGGACCAACTGACTTCACAGCATTCTCACTTCAAGAGATCTGAAAGCTCTAGACAGGAGAAAAACTACCACGTGTTTGATAAATCAACTTACTTTCACCTTAAAATTCTCCAGGGCTACCAACCCAGGAAGATCATTAGAATTTAGTGGAAATTTTTCTTGTATTTAGAAATCCAATTACTTTCAAATTTACTGCTCTATTCAAGCTGAGAGTCCTGAGCTGTTGATTTCTCTATCAGTACATATCAAATAAGAGGAACCTGACCATTTTAATACTACCAACAGCCACGCTGACAGCTCTCCTTACAGGGACCGCCACGGCCGGGCCCACCGCTCTGAGGCAGGGCTCTTGGTGTCCTCAGGTGGCCGCCCAGCTCGCAGCAGAGGTGCACCGGGCCCAGAGCCCCACCCTCAGAGGCTGCGGCTGCAGGGAGGGGCCTGTGCACAAGCCCGAGCCCAGCTCGCCGGGCCCCTCAGTCCACGGTCACAGTGCTGCCCCCACTCTGCCAGCCCACCTACTCATCCTGTCAGCCAAGGCGGGCGCCCAGCCCATGCCCTGTCCTTTCCCATTAGACTGAACAGTCTTTTGCTCACTGACTGGTCTCTGCTTCGTGCCCTCCGCCTCGCACCAGAGGCAGGGGGCCTCTTCACCACGAGCACCCGGAGCACGGAGCACAGAGCACGCAGCGGGGATGGAGCAGAGTCAGCTGACCGTGTTCACGTGGCGTCAGCACAGGCTCTGCCCCTGAGGAGGGGGCCATTCTGTCTTAATGTAGAGGGTGGTCTTAGAAGGTTTTTCTCAAGGCCCTTGGGGCTCCTTTATTCTATAAGCCCATGAGGTACGACCATCCTCTTCTCCCATTTCTAACTTAAAAAATATTATAGGGTCTTATATTTTAAGCCAAAAAATGGGCCGAGGACCCTCCCCAAACCAACTGGAAACAGACTCTGCAGGGGTACAGCCCAAGAATTTTGTTAAAGGCTCTCCAGGTAAGCTGACTTGAAAACCTCCTTCGGTGACTGAAAAGTTACATTCTGCAACTAGGACTTGGGAGGGAGGGAGGGAGAGCCACGCAAGAGAGGAGGCAGAGGACGAGGCAGCTTCCGCTCACGAGGACGCCTGGTCCCAGACAGAGACGCCTGGGGAAGCACGCATCGCTCAAGGCCCTCACCACCACGCTAGTCCTCCGGCAGCCGAGCTCCCCTCTGGCCTCCTGCAGACGCACGGACCTCATCCGCTCCAGCTTGCGCCTGCGGACAGCATCCACCTCGCGGCCGGCACCCGGGGGCCCCTTGCTCCCCAGATGGGTGTGGGTGAACAGCATGGCGGCCAGCTCGCTATCCACATCTGCCAGCTTCTGCGCTTGGACCACATTTTTTGCTGCTGGAAGGTTCAAAGAGAGAGCTAGAGGTTAAAGTGCATAGCTAACATTCTTTAAACAGACAGGACGACAAGCCTCCCAGAACCACTTTCCGGGGGCAGGAGCTCAGAGTGCACCTCATTCTCCTGTGTGCATTCTAAGGTGTTGATATAGATGGTAATTTCATAACCTGGTGTCCACCCCATTCCTCCCTTTACCACCCTCTCAAATAAAAGGAATTCCAGTCTTGGTCCCTGGATACCATTTATTAATACACAATTAGGTGACTCTCTTGGGGCAAAAAGGGCAAAAAGAAGCTCATGCTCTTGGGGTTCTCTAGAGGCCTGCTGGCCCCTTGCCCAGGACTATTGGCCCTGCTCCATGCAGCCCCTCTAGTGAGCACCTCCTGATGCCAGGCACCACTCTGAGCTCCCAGGCACACTGCCCTGTGGGGTCCTCCAACCCACCCTGCATGGGCTGTCACAGACTCCACACTCTGATCAGGAACTGGGGGCTCTGATGAGTTGCAGCCTCGCCTGGATGCCCCCAGGCTGGTCAGGGTGGGTGAAGCCCAGACCATGCCTTGCTCCCAAGCTCACACCCTCGACTCCATGCCTGGCTGCCTCTCAATGGCTTGGCTCCCAAGGCATGTCTTCCTTCAGGGGCTCTACTCAGACCCTGGACACACCCACACGCTGTGCAGCAGACGGGCTGAGATAGCCCAGGCCTGGGCAGGAGGGCTGCACTGTCTCCCTGCAGTGGCTGTGCCAAGGACAGAGCCACACATGGCACATACCATGTCACAAGCTGACACATGAGATTTCCAGATCACCACTCAGCCTGGCTCACGTGAGCAGGCGAAGGAGTACCCCAGCTCAGGACGGGGCCCTTCCTGACTCCCGGATGCCACCAGCACCCACAGCAAGGAAGCGCCACCCTCCTTCCACCGCCAGTCCGCACCGTCAGCACACGCCTGCAGCCTCTACTGATGTGCTCCACCAGGCAGTTCCCCCCGATTTTTCTACATCTTACTCCATTACAAGTAAACACATGCTATGTCCAGGTTCCTCACCACCATCCTATTTTAAAGGTATTTAACTGCTTTTCAGACACCATGAGCTGGTTTAGACATCTTAAATAGCCACCCAAAAGAGCACTTTCATGTCTCTGGGCCTCAGGCACGAGGGGATGGGAGATCCAGCCCAGGTCCACGGTCCCAAGTGGTTCAGGGCAGGAGACAAGCTGGGCCGGGGGCGAAGCGACAAGCTCCTGGGTCAGAGGTGCCACTGGCTCCAGAGAGGCCAGGAATGGGAGTCCAGGGTGACCGTGAGGGGCCAGGGAGCAGCCCGGGGCGACCATGTGGAGCCAGGAAGCACTTTTTAAAATTCTGTACAACTTCTACCTTTAGAATCTTCCCAGTGGGTGAAGATAGGGCTTTCTGATGGGGCGGGGTCCATCCTCTGGTTTTCGTCAAACAAACAAGACAGCTCACAACCCTCGAGGCCCTGGAGGCTCTCCACCAGCCTCACGGGTCACAGCTCCAGGCACTGACTGGTGGGGCCCTGGCCTGCCAGCCCCGGGGCCGGGGGTCTCCCCAGTATGCTCAGGCTCTGTTCCCGGAGTGCAGGGGCTCCTCACCATCCATTCTCTCGGTGACCAGAGGGACCACTGAGGATGGAGAAGCACTGGCCCCAGAGCCAGAGATCCAGATTCCAGGCCACCGCCTTCACCCCACAGCCAGCAGGTCACCTGCCCTCCCCTGCCTTGGTTCCAACACTGAGGTGAGGAGGCTGGCCCAGGACAGACTCCCAGCCCTCCAGGGTCATGGATCTCAGACCCCCTTCAGCACTGAGCCTCCAGGGCCCCCAGCCCTGGGGGGGTGTCTCAGGGCCCACAAGGTGTGGCTGGAGTGTCAGAGAACACATGGGATCCCGGAGGCCCTCCAAGACAGAGCCAAGGCCCCCCAGGTCTAACCGGCCACAGCTTGGGGCTTCCTCCTGAAGCACAGGTTCAAGGCCCCCTGAGTCAGAGGACCCTCAGCACAGGAAGCTCACAGGACTCGTGCAGATGGCCTGCAGCATGCGGAGATGCTACTTCAAGGCACTCGTCACTTCCCATTCCAACAAGCATTTTACATTCAGGCCTGTAGATCATCTTAAGGGGACAGAAAAACTGCAGAACCTCCTGCCATGAAAAGGATTTTCTGCAAGCTCTGGTCCTTATTTCACAGCTTTGTAATTGGTTAGTATGCCCTCTACCCAATGCAGAGAGTTTCAAATTAGTTTTTTAAAAATCAGTCTATGTAGATGCACCCCTGTGTTTATCGTTGCACTATTTACAATAGCCAAGATATGGAAGCAACCTAAGTGTCCATCAGTAGATGAATGGATAAAAAAGATGTGGTACATATACACAATGGAATATTACTCAGCCATAAGAAAAAAACAGATCCTACCATTCGCAACAACATAGATGGAGCTGGAGGGTATTGTGCTCAGTGAAATAAGCCAGGTGGAGAAAGACAAGTACCAAATGATTTCACTCATATGTGGAGTATAAGAACAAAGGAAAACTGAAGGAACAAAACAGCAGCAGAATCACAGAACCCAAGAATGGACTAACAGTTACCAAAGGGAAAGGGACTGGGGAGGATGGGTGGGAAGGGAGGGAAAAGGTGGGGGAAAGAGAAAGGGGGCCTTACGATTAGCATGGATAGTGTGGGGGGGCACGGGGAGGGCTGTGCAACACAGAGAAGACAAGTAGTGATTTTACAGCATCTTACTATGCAGATGGACAGTGACTGTGAAGGGGTATGTGGGGGGACTTGGTGAAGGGGGGAGCCTAGTAAACATAATGTTCTTCATGTAATTGTAGATTAATGATACCAAAAAAAAAAATCAATCTATGTTCAGTCTGATCTTGGTTTGTTTTCTCTTCCCCTGAAGATGAGCAGCTAACCAAAAACAAATGCCACTTGTAGGATTATAATTTCTCTACGGAACAGCCCAAGCAGCTTCCAGAGCCCAGTGTAGATGGTGCCAGGTCTGATGGACGAGGTGAACCAGCACAGCCTGCAGGTCCCGAGGCAGCCACTGAGCTGGGCACACCATGCACCAGCACCTACCGTCACACGTGCATGTGTGCACACACTGGCACACACAAGCACACGCAGCCCCTGCCTCTGGTTCCACCCCACCTAGCCATAACCACTCTGCTCAGCAGGGCCCTGCACCCTCTCTACTCACATCTAGGGCCCCCTCGAGTGAGCAGGCTGCCTCCCTCGAAGCGGCTGTCTCCATCATTCGAGATGACCCGTGACCTGGAAGGCGGCAACGAGCTGGAATTTCCCCCTCTCTGTTCACACATGTGACCTAAATTAAAAACAGCCCCAGCATATGATATTAATATCACAGAGTCTGATGAAACACATCAATCTAGCCCACACGGGGTTCCAGCTTTCAAAGGGCCCATCCACACCCCCTGACCCACTAACTTCCCCAACCCCACGTGGTTCTGAATCTGTGGACGCTTTTCTCCCAGATTCTCCTCCATCTGAGCAGCAGTGTCTGCTTTTCGGTGACGACTTCAAGGTCAAGACACTCACACTGCGCCTGCACAGACTCTCTCCGTCCCTGGACCAGCCCCCAGCAGCCCAGGGATGAGAGACATTCACAAACTCTGACGTCAGCCTTTTGAGTGTCACGCTGTTCAAGGGAAGGCCTTTCGGCACTTCTGCAAAGGTCTGACTCCGGACACACTCGCGGGTAGAACAGCCTCCACAGCCAGACCCTTCTTCCTCAGTTGTCCTCAGAAAGAAGCCTTTGGAGAGAGGTGAGGCTGCTCCGGGGGGTGGCCACTGCCCGGAGGCAGAGCACAGCACAGCATCACCCTTCCCTTGGCCGGACCGCGAGCAGCCCCCTGGCTGGCCAACAGAGCTCCAGGGCGAGAAGAGCTCGCCTGCAGGAACGCTGTCCCGGGGCGCCGGACCCTGCCCGCAGAGCCACAGGCCCTCTGCGCAGACCCAACTTCCACCTCACGGTGAGCTGCTAGTGGGGTCGGGGTCTGAAATGAGCCGCCCAAGTTCCAAACACAAAAGCTCACTGCCGATCTCCCTGATTCCAGCCAGATGGGGTCGAACACCTGCAGGCTGGGGGCATCGTGGTGACCTTTCCCGAAGCTGTCAGAAGTGGCACCCCTTCTCCTGGGTGCCCGTTCCCCACCTCTCCGGGTCTCCTCCAGCCCTACCTCTGCTCTGCCCCAGGGAGGGAAGGGGTACCATCCTGTGGAGTCCTGCTCCTCCTGTGCCTCCCCCAGATCCACCTGCCCGACGCTGCTCTTTCCAAGGGCACCTGGGCGCATCAGCCCACCGCCCGAAAGGCATGAGCCTCGGCCTCTCGGGGACTAAGGTGGAACTTTCGTCTCCAGCTGCCTGACAGAAACATCCCTCCAGCCCTGCTCCGAGCTGAGGCTGGGAAGGGGGTGCCCACCCTTCCGAGGCAGGTCTGGGCTGGGCGCTGCTCCAGGTGGGGGCTGCCCGTGCAGGCCCCAGGGAACGGCAGCCAGAGACCCCAAAGACGGTGCGACAGCAGATCATCCCCCAAAAGATGAGCAAGGACAGTACCCCGATCTGGGGTAGAGAAAGCCTAAATTCAGAAATGACAGGCACACTGCGGTCCTCCCTGGCCACATCAAGAAGGGACTTCTTTTCCCGGATCAAAGGCTGCTGGTAAAGCAGCGGGCAGCACCGCCCCCCGATAACACCCACAGTCCTCATCTCTACCTGCTTTTGGTCCTCTCAAATGCTTTCTGAGGATCTCAGACCATGCAGGCCCTCCTGCCAGCCTTCCTGCCCTGCCACTGTGCCACAGCTCAGGAAGCAGCCCTGGCGAAGGGCTTGAGGAAGTCAGCCCGAGGGCAGGCAGGAGCTCACGCTCCACACTCTTCCCTGAGGGAAGCACAGGGTCACCACCTGCCCTGCACATGCTGAGAAGCTGGCTCTAGGGCCCAAGTTCTGGCTGCCAGGCGCTCGCCACTGTCGCAGCCAGACGGCAGCGCCATCCCCTCCCTCCTCTGCTGCTGAGGCCGGTGACAGGCAGACCTGGCATCTCTTCCCAGGGAACTTGAGTGCCAGGCTGCAAGCCGGCAGTTACAGCCTCTCCTGCTGCTCTGGCTGTTCGCCTCCACATCGACCTGGTCGAAGGCAGCAGACAGCAGAGTCTGCCCACCCCCACCCGCAGGTCTGCGCTCCCCCCAGCCAGGCCCCGCTCTCCTGGCTGCCTGGCTCAAGCACCGGCCATGCCACTCCCACGTGTGGGCTTCGATCCCCTGCGGACACCGGGGCCCTTCCTTCCGGCTCTGCTGCCTGTGAAGCAGCCCCAGGATCTGAGCTGTGCTCAGCCTCGGCTCTGCTCCACCGACACCACCCACAGCTGCCCCCTTACTCTTCGGGGTGTCCAGCTTCCCCGGCAGACAGAGGCCACTAAGTCTTTGCCAAAACACATTCTTCTGGCCCCCGTGGGATCTCTGGGCCCTGACAGGCTCTCAGTCCTTCACCAAGGACAGACTCCAAGGTGAGGCAGGAGTTCAGACTCGCCCGCTATCAATCCACCCATCAATCTTCTCACCACTGTGCTAGGTCATGGGGGCCAGTGCTGGGGTGAACAGTCACAAGGAGGAATCAGCGGGGTCCTCACGAGCCCCCGGATCTGTGACGGACACCGACAACCATGGAGCACACGGGGCAGGGGCAGAGAGCACGGCAGCCTGATGCAGGGCCCAGCCGGCCTGCACCCCAGCCGGGGCTCCCAGCACTGGCCTTCACCACCCAGCTCCCCTCACACCTGTCACCTGAGGGCTCACACGGCCACCGCCCAACCCGCTGGCCTGCGCCTGCCACCCAGTGCCTAACAATCAGTTTCGTAAAGAAAGAAAAGCACTTTTTTTTTTTCAAGAAGTGCAAAATGCAGAGGAACCACAAGGCTGCCGTGCTGATGTGGGTGTGCTGCGCGGCCCGTGTCCTCTGCTATCTCACCCGTCGGCTCACGTCGGGGCCTCTCAGGCTGGGTGTCTCAGGCCCTCCTTCCCATGAGCTTATCTCTTGCATGCAGGCAAAGTATGAAAATGACAATTTAAGATAACACATAATAGAGCTAATCTTTCTTCTGAAGATAAGATTTTAAAACCTGGAGTCACTGCACATTTGTGGGCTGCTGAATTGAATATAAAAATAACCAGCACAATATCGGGAGGAGAATGCTTCTTGCTGCCCCCTCAGTCATATGAACTGTTGAGTAATGTCTGCTGCTCACATGTGGCTCATTTATTTCTCAGCGTCTAATTGAGTTTTGCTGTTTCCATACTGTCTGTTTTCAAGGCTGCCTCGGATCCTACATTTGTAAACAAGGAGGCAGAAACTTCAAAGCGGCTCAAGGTGGGCAGCGCGCCCGCCCCTGCTGCTGCTGCCCTGCCCAGCCCTGCCCGCCCCTGTGCTGCCGCTCAGGTGAGTGGGGCCCGCAGGGCTTGAGGCTTTCAAAGCAGGCTGGGTTTTGAGGGATGGAAAATTCCCCGGTAAGACAGAGAGGTCTGAGTCCCAGCTAGATGTATACAGCCCCAGAAACCTCAAACAGCTTGGTTTAGACCCGCTTTCAATTTTGCCTGGAAAGATCTGCAATCCTTCCACCATCTCCAGAAGGGAGATTAAATGAGCTGGTCACCAGCTCCACAGGAGCCCACTCTGGCCCTCCGCCCCAAGGCAGGTACAGGCAGGCATGCCCTGTCCAATGGGCCTCAGCTGGACCTGCACAAGTCCAGGCAGGACCATCCTGGCCACACCCAGCCCAAACTCCTGCCCACCCGGTATGGGGAAGGACAGCCAGGGCCTCGCTCCGCTCTCGGGACACCATCTGCTGCACAAAGTGCTGGGAGCCAGAGGAGCTCCTATCTGCCCCCCATCCCCGAGCTGCATGAGGATCGGGGGTATTTGTCTCTCTTTCCTCTCTTCAACAGCCAGACAGCTCTGGGGGCTGGAACTCCAGATGACAATCTCTCCTGGAGACAGTCACTTTGAAAACTGTAACGGAGATGCCCTGTGGATCACCCCAAGAATAAGGATGTGGACAATATCAAGATGACTCAGAACCCCAGGCCCCGGAACACCAAACAACTGGCACCAGAACAGGTCAGTGGTTAAGGGCAGGCTCAGTGGTCAGAGGCAGGCGCTCAGTGGCCGGGAGCAGATGGTCAGCGGTCAGGGCAGGCGCTCAGTGGCCAGGGGCAGATGGTCAGCGGTCAGGGCAGGCGCTCAGTGGTCAGAGGCAGGCGCTCAGTGGCCAGAGGCAGACACTCAGTGGCCGGGAGCAGATGCTCAGCAGTAAGGGCAGGCTCAGTGGTCAGAGGCAGGCGCTCAGTGGTCAGAGGCAGGCGCTCGGTGGCCAGAGGCAGACGCTCAGTGGCCGGGAGCAGATGGTCAGCGGTCAGGGCAGGCGCTCAGTGGCCAGGGGCAGGCACTCAGTGATTAAGGGCAGGCGCTCAGTGGTCAAGCTAATAAGTTTTTCTGAGTCCCTACTGACCGTATGATGCCCACAACAGGGCCACTGCCCCGAGAGAGGT